GATTCATGCCTTTCCCAAAGGAACTTGCGTGTAAATGAATGCAACGAACCCGACTGGAATTGGACCTCGGCTCTCCGATTACTCATTCGAAGTCATTGTCCAATCCACCACCCGAACATAAGGGGGGGGGGAACGAAAGAAACAAATTTATTAGGGTTTTTTATATTATCAAAACACACACACATGTCCACTCTCTCGCTCTCTCTGTCTCTCACTGTGTATATATATATATATATATATATATATATATATATATATATATACATACACACACACACACACACACACACACACACACACAAATGAAAAAATAGATGGGGTAAAAATCCACAGTTCGTAGCATTTATTTTCAAAACAAGTGTTGAATAGGAAATGGAGTAAAATATTATTATAATAAATTACAATAAAAATATTTTACATCGCTACACAAAAAACTTTCATGTTTCGGTACTATGATTTATCATAGTATTGAAACTCAATGGGGTTGTGTGTGTGTTGATAATATAAAAACCCCTAAATGAAACTCAATGATCTATCATAGCAATGAAACATGAAAGCTTTTGTGTAACGATGTAAAATGGTAAAATGTTTTTATTATAATCTTTTATAATAAAAATATTATATATGCATATATATATATATATATTAAAAAGAAGAGAGAAACCGCAAACTTTTTTGGTTCTAATGTAGATTTTTTAAAAAAATATTATGCTTTATTTTCCATAATTTTGCTACACGCGATTCAAAGCGTGGAAATTTCCACATATTTCGAGAAACATAAGAAAAACATAAGAAAAAAATTAATTATTTTTAATAATATGTGGAAATCTCCACGCTTTGCCTGATGAGACCGGAAACACGTGTAGCAAAATTATGGAAAATAAAGCATAAAATTTAAAAAAAAAAAACTATATTAAAACCAAAAACGTTTGCGGTTTCCCTCTTCTTTTTAATATACACACTTTTCTCTCGTTGGAACTACTATAACCCCTTCCTTTTATATAATATATATATATATATATATATATATATATATATAATGTGTGTGTTTGTGTGTGTGAATTAACAGGGTGAATGCACCTGTGGTTTGTTTAACCAATCGAAAAAAAACCACAAAAATAAAAACAAAAATACCAGAATTTTCTTTGTTTCTCCATATCACAATTTCTAATGGTGTTTAAATCAAAGCAAAACATGTTAGATTGATAAACGTTTCCTAATTGTTCCTTATCCTGTCATTCTGTTGGATTCCAATCCATATTTGTTCCATATTTGATTCCTATACATACACACGCGTGTGCACGCACAGATACACACACATATGTGTGTGCGCATATATATGTGTATATCTATTTATTTAGAGAGAGCGATAGTTATATCAATATGTATAATATCATTTTGTAATATATTTATTGTTTATACGTTATTTTTATAGATACATATATTAATATAAAGTAAATGATCTGTTTATAATAAACAGTATTAACAACATTTGTCCGAAAAATTTCGTATATAGTATGTCCTCCAACAGAAATTGAACCTGTATCCTACACAGAACCGCCATATAGCCTGACCTACTCTACCATTTAGCTACAGACGAAGCAACTGGTTAGTAAGGTTAAATTACTGTTTTTGAACTAGAAATTTCCCATGTTGTCTCACGAAGGCTCATATCTGCTCAAAGCGTATTTTAACGTAAACAAATGACATTATATATTATGAAATGAACTAAGTCCGGCAATTATTTTAATATATTTTTTCTTTATATGTTATTTTCATAGATAGAAATATTTAGATAAATGTGTAGGAGAGAGGTTCAGTTCATGTCGGGGGGCACATATTTTCTTTGAGGATTCTCGGACTTTCAAGCCAGTAAATGTTGTTAATACTGTTTATTATAAACAGAGAATTTAGTTAAATATTTGTATCTATAAAAATGATGTATGGGTAGTTAGGTAGTCAGATGTAAGGGGTGATGTGGTTGCAGAAATTGCCTGACAGTTAGGACTAGGTTCTCCTGCTTGTTTGGTATGGTGCAGAGTCCGGTTGCCAGACATAGGGTCTTCAAGTAGCAATCTTCTTGAGTCAGATCAGCACAACCTTCTCAGGGCCCATGATGTAGGCCTCTGTTGAGTCTGAGGCCCTGTGGAAAGATTGATGCATAATGTTGCCATCACTAGTAATCACTCTAAACACCATGATGTTAACAGAATATATCATCCAACTCTTTCCAAATCCTCTGCACTCTCCTCAGATCTACACCCAAACACTCTGAAATGTTCGTATTGGAGCTTCCGGCGCGAATGCCAAGCAGTACAACATGCCGTTTCCAAATTTATGACAGAGTGAATTGCATCATGGTGCTCTTTTCCTCACAGATGGTGCTCAACTAAACCTGCTATGCTGTATAGTCTACAAATCCAGAAACAAACTACGTGCATATGCGAAATTAAAGTTAAAAAATGGCGACAATATACCCATCGCCCATATATATATATATAAAAGTGAACATTGAAGTTAACACTCAGAGGCGACAGGCTGTTTCATGCTGGACATAATCGTCGGCCTGACGATTGCGCCTAGCATGAAACAGCCTGTCGCCCTGAGTGTTGACTTCAATGTTCACTTTATATTTATATTTACATATGCCCTGTCTCTGCTATTGAGCACTTTTATCCCATAAATATAGCACACCTTAAAACTATATTTCTTCATATATATATATATATATATATATATATATATATATATATATATATAATGGCCAGCTATTTTTGTTTTCTGTGGAAACTAGCTCTATCGCTACAAAGGCACTTAATATAGCCATGTTGATTCTGAGGCCTCGTCAACAAATTTAAGAGTTCTTTTCTTATCAAAACGATCAGAGTAAGTTTTCCGACCTGCTGTACCTTCGCCAATCACCATTAGACTCATCCAACTCTTCTCGAATCCTCTGCACTGTCCTCAGATTTTCTAATTTTGTGTCGTAGTGACACGCACGAAATTAAAATGAAAAAATGGCGACAATTTACTCATCGCACCTGTATATATATATATATATATATATATATATATATATATATATATATATATATATATATATTATATATATATATATATATATATATATATATATATATATATATATATGTATGTATATACATATATATGCATACAGGTGATATACATATATACTTCTGGTGGGGCGGCAAGCTAATTCATGTAGTAGACAGCTGTTCCTTTGTGTTTAACATCCATGGAGGCTACCTTTGGTTGATACTGAAACAATGCTGAGAAAACCTTGGTTACATTTTCTGGGGGTGAACGCATAATTTATCATGATCAGCAGCTTGAACAACACCAGTACGCACAAACCCTCGGTCACGATGACTTGTGATTTCGTGCTAGTACAGCCACCGACGGCTTCCACCTACCCGATTACACTCATATATATATATATATATATATATATATATATATATATATATTAAAGCGCTCAATATCAGAGATACAGCATGAAACAGACTGTCGCCTCTAAGTGTTGTTTTTTTTTGTTCACTTTTACCACCTTCTCTCATCTGTTACCCCTCTCTTTAGCTCTAATATTCATCCCACACTCTCATACTCTCATACACTCTCTCTAAATTCTATTTTTATTTCGGGAGTTGTTTTTTCTGTTTTCTTTTTGAATTTGTAGGTCTGATGAATTGGATCGTATTTACGATTCCAATGGAATAAATTATGACCATGGAATATTAGTGTTTAAGCCTTTTTATTATATATATTTATATATATATATCTGAATATAAAGATAGACATTGAAGTCATACATATATATGTGTGTATATGTATATATATATATATATATATGTGTGTGTGTATGTATATATAATGAGATATAGAACAAATTGGAAACGTCAATCAATCTAACATGTTTCGCTTTTATTAAAGCTTCATTAGAGAATAAAAGTGAAACATGTTATTCATAAACATTTCCTATTTGTATTTTATTTTTTTCTCTCGGATTCCAATAGATAGTTGAATTATATTTGATATCAGCTCACCTCCCTCTCTCTTTTGTCTCTGTGTGTATATATATATATATATATATATATATATATATATATAAGAGTGATGTATATATATATGTAGATATAGGTAGATAGATATAGATGGGATTAATACAAATAAAACTTCTCGCGGTGTTTCGTAGATGACCTACTAAGATTTTTACTGAGAGATTTTGGTATGAAGAATGAATATTTCTCTATTCTCGAAATAAATTGTAAAAAATGAATATTTAAGGTTTTCTTCATGATTATTATTATGCTCTGTAGTCTACATTAAGCTCTCCCTGGATTAATATCCTCCTTGAATTGTCCTTAGCAGTCACAAACTGGTAATACTTTATGTTCATATATATATATATATATATATATATATATATATATATATATATATATATATATATATATATATATGAGGAATCTAATTGAAATAATAAAACAAAAAATATTAATATACAACCCAGTGTGTCTGAAAATTTTAATTTTTTAATTTCTCAATATTTTTTATTTTTCAAAACGTGTGTGTGTGTGTGAATTTCACTCTATTCTTAAGTATCTGTCTGTCAGTCTATTTATCTATATAACTATCTAAGTCTCTTTGTGTTTATCTATTTAATAGTCAATCTAATTAAATTTACTGGCAGATAAAACTGTTGTCTATGATAATCTAACCTTCGATGATAATCCAACTTCCCATGATAATCCAACATTCCATTGTTAGAAACAAAACGCTGTCCGAAAAGGCAAACATTAAATATAATAAAATAGTTCTAACAGCGATATGACATTAACAAAAAAGACATTTATTATTTTTTTGTCACTCGACAATTATCGCCATCCAGTCTGTTATTTTCTTCTTTATTTTCCCAAGGGCTGAATTGAATCATGTCGCCTCCTAATTATCTGATCCTTTTCATTTTAAAATTCATTTAGGAAAAAGCGAAATATAGGCGTGCCTCCGACGCACAGTAAGTGTCAAGTTTGAAGTCAATGTAGGTAATATTGGATTTAGAATTTCGTGACACTAACAACTTCCTATTTATTTATAAGCAAACTGGAGCTATATAGTCTTCGCAAACGAACAATGCATTGTGTATATACTGTCATTTTACAAAAACAGTTTGTGATAGAATGAATTAAAATTTCGAACAAAAATCTTATCACGAGAAAAGATTTTTCACACATAAGTTTTATTAGGCAGAAGTTAGGAATATATACTTGTAAAATAGAAAGGAAATGCAGTTTTAAATGATTCCGGTAATGACAATTAAAGAAGATATAAATTAAAAAAAAATCATTTTTATAGCCATCAGAAATAATAGTGACATGTTTAGCGAAGCGTGACATAAATAAATAAAAATAAATAAATAAATAAATAAAAATGCGTCCAGCAGCTTCGGTTCGAGACGGTCGTAAACGTATGCGGCCTTATTTAGTTGTTATCAAAGTTAAATATCGTACTTAATAGTCGAGAGTTACGAGCAGTGCTGCTATATTCTCGGCCCAACAACTTCCAAAAATTTGGCCAAATATCAGAATTTACATGTAATTCACTTTTCAGCACCTTCGAATATATATATATATATATATATATATATATATATATATATATATATATATATATATATCGAAATAAAAGTATAAAATTTAATATTACAAGACATATTAAACACAAAAAAAGGCTTCAACGGAGATTCAAAATTAATACAGAAAATTTTTTTTTTTGTGTATTAATTTTTGAATCTCCTGTTGACGCCTGAAGAGCGGGAGCGAAACTGGTTGCTCCCCGTTGTTGTGTTTTTTTTTTTTTTGTGTTTAATATGTCTTGTAATATTAAATTTTATACTTTTATTTCGATCATTAAATTTTATTACCTAAAAATCTTTTATATAAAATATATATATATATATATATATATATATATATATATATATATATATATATAAATATATATATAGTTACATTTACCGGTCTGAATGTTTGAGACAATTTTGTAAAAAATATGCGTTCTCCGGCGTTCAATATATTCGAATGTTTCTCCCAAGGCCTTCTCTCCTACTAATCTTATAGTAGGCGGAAGAGTCCGACATAGACTTTGTATTTCGGCAGTAATCCGTCTTTTATACATGTTTCATTAAAGAAGAATAGAAAGATATTGAGATTAAATTTTATTCATTTTTTCTTGCATTCATACATGTGTAAAAACTATTCAAATGTTCTATATATTTGAGCGCTTTCGGCTATTCTGTTAGACATTATCAGAGGAGTATTTTTTAATTTTTTTTTAATTTTTAATTGAATATGTACATTTTTATATATGTGTATCTGGAATGATTTTTACATAAGTGTATATATACTCATAGAAATGTTTTTTTTTTTTTTTTCCAAAAAGTGTTAGCGTATTGTGGCCGCATTCATAGCCGATATTGTTTGTTAATTGTCTTTTATTATTAATGCTTCAATTATTTTTATTCGTTTTTACATGTGTATAATCGTATATTGTACAAGAAAAAAATTATTATTCCATTGTGTTACATTTAGCATCGAGAAAGACTATTTGAGAAAGCATTACACACACACACACACACACATACATACATATATATATATATATATATATATATATATATATATATATATATATAGTTATAAAGCGAGAAAGTGTGTGATCATAGATATAAATTCGTTACGCTGACTGTCATTTTACACTTTAATGTAATTTTCAGACCACACACACACACACACACACACACACACACACACACACATATATATATATATAGAGAGAGAGAGTTAGAGAGAGAGAAAGTTGGGTTAATCAAATAAATAGATATTAAGAACAGTATTATTATATATATATATATATATATATATATATATATATATATATATATATATATATATACAATTTAGATTGTATTCCACCTTTTGTCAATATTGCATATCGTTTTGTTTTTTTTTTTTTTTGTTTTTTTTGCAATATATAATCCTTCGATTCCAGCTCTGTAAACTGAAGGGTAAACCGGTCAGCTGTTTTTTTTCTTTTTAATCTTTAAAAGTAAAGTTGATCTTACTTTTTTTTTTATCTCTATCGTATATATATATATATATATATATATATATATATGCACCAATAAAATCAATTTACCCAACTCTTATCCGTTGTCAGCAAAATAATCTTTGTAGTCATGACTTTAAAATTAACCTTCACACAGGGCCACATTGATCGGTCGTTATAAAGTGAACATTTCACCTGATATTCCGAAGATAACTGTTGACATACACACTAAAACACCCAGCCATAGACACACACACACATGTGTGTGTCTGTAAGCTTTTTGATCACATATGGGTTAATATCCATGTGTCTATATTATAAACTATACATCTGTCAAACCGTATACCTGTGCACTTATACTGGGTGTGGCAGAAATACGTGACATATACCTTCCGCAATGGTGTGTTTATCACGCTAATGTCTTACCATTATGTGGGAGAAATTTCTGGGGGGTATACATCGGAGGTATTTCTGCGGCATCCCGTGTTAGACTGTCGTTTTTTTTAGGATTATTAATTATTTACATAGGCCTGTATATATATATATATATATATATATATATATATATATATATATATATAAGCGTTTCGCCCCAAGCAAGGTGGGAATCCACTAGCACGCAAGGGGTTACAGAGAGTTGGAGCTAGAGCAAATAGGAGTGATAGAGGAAAGGATGAAGAGAGGGATAGGGGATAGATCAAGGCATATGGAGACGTCGATTGACATTACATTTGAATAGTTGGATATTATAGCTATCAGGGAAACAAGAAAAGGGAAGGGCGTTCCACAGGCGAGAAGTGCGAGACATGAAGCTATTGGAGTAGAAGAGACAGCTACATTTAACAGTTTCGACAGTGAAAGGATGAGAGCGAGATGCCAGCCTAGATGAACGCTTAAATTCATGAAGTCTGGGAACCAGAGAAAGCAGCTCATCGGAGCAGTTACCGTGAAAGTATTTGTAAAAAAGACAGAGGGAGGCGACGGCACGTCTGTGAGAGAGTGGCTGCAGACAATATGCCAGATAAGGGCCAATTACAATGCATATCCGTGTTTGGATTTTATCAAGGACTTTGAGACAAACATAAGGGGCTCCAGACCATATATGGCAGCAATACTCCATGCAAGGGCGAATGGTTGATTTGTAGATTTGAAGGATCGATTCCGGCGAGAAAAATTTCCTGGCGCGGCACAGCCAGCCAACTTTCCTTGCGGTGGACGAAGCTATTGACTCAATGTAATTGTTCCATCTCAGGTCAGCAGACAATGCAAAGAGGTGCTCTCGTGTTGAGCGTCAGGCATTCTAATGGGAGTCAGGGATGGTTCTCTGTGGTGATTAATAGAGAGCAGTTTTGTTTTTGAGGCATTAAAGTTAACCAGCCAATTCCTGCCTCAGTCCGCAACCAATTGGAGGTCCTTTTCGAGACAAACGGCCAGGTTTGTTTTGTCAGCGACACTTTTGTTTTTGAGGCAGGAGTAAATAGTCGTGTCGTCCGCATAGATGCCTGCTTGGGAACCTATGACATTAAGAAGATCGTTAATGAAGATAAGGAACAGAGTAGGGCCTAGGATAGAGCCTTGGGGAAAACCTGCTTTTGTGGGATAGGAGTTGGAGGAGAATCCGTTGAGACGACCTTCATTACTCGGTTTGACAGGAATGATTGCATTGTCAAACAATCGACCTGAAATTCCATAATCCTGAAGCCGAAGAAGGCCGGCATGCCAAACCCTATCAAACGTTTTTGAGATATCTAGAGCCACGGCACGAGCTTCTCCGTTATTGTGAAATACTTGGTAAAAAAAATTTAGTTATGGTTGTAAGCACATCAGCTGTGGAACGGGCAAAGCGGAAAACATATTGCTTGTCGGAGAGCAGATCATGGGATGTAAGGTGCTTAAACACTTCAGCGTTGATTAAAGCTTCGAAGACTTTGCCGAAGAGTGGTAGGAGACTGATAGGACGATAATTAGAAATGTCAGAAGGGTCACCTGAATTCTTAAAGGTAGGAACAATGGATGAGGAAAACAAGATTCATTGAGGCAGTAGTTATATAATTTGGAGAGGGCAGGGGCCAGTTCAGGCGCATATTTCTTCAGGACAATGACTGGTATACCATCTCCACCACTAGCCTTATAGAGGTCTAATTTAGAGATAATGCCCAATACCAATTACGAGGTTATGTGCAACTCGCTCAATAGAGCCTCAGTTCTAAGGGGGAAATCGGGTGTGGGTACACCGGAAGAGTCGAGCGTTGAATTGAATGAGAATTTCCGGGCAAAGCATTCAGCTTTGTCGGCAGAAGAGGCCAGAACCTCAAACTGGTTGACCAAAGGCGGTATAGAGGGTTTGCTATTGTTAAGTACACTCTTGCAGAAAAGCCAATAATCCTTGGAGTCGAATTTGTGAGATGCAATACGATCTTTCATTCGAGCAGCAAATAGTGACTTTGCTTCATTGAGGACATGCTTACACTCGTTACGGGTAGAGACAAAGAGACGTCTATTGCAATCAGACATGTCACTACGATAAAGATGGAAGAAGTGATTCCTATGGTCAATGGCTGCTGAGCAAGCATCGGAAGAGCACGATTTGACCTTATATTTCCTTGAGGATGAAAGCCTCGATTCCAGCTTTAAATCAGGAAGGAGACCTCGGAAGCACATTCTTGAACGAGGAGCGTAAAGACAACATCCCAGGGGACATCGCGAAGGAAATCCCGGAACTAGTCGCAGTCTGCTCGTTGATAGCAGAACGAGGTTCTAGTGGTAGCAAGTTCTTTGCGCGGGGTGGGGTGGGGGGAATTGAAGGAGATGTTGACAGACACTACAGTATGATCGGAGTTGCCAAGAGGGCAGAGCTGCGTGGCACTACAGGAGT